AAAATTAGTGAGCAAAAGTAAGGACATTTGCATTACTTCAAAGTTATCTTCCCACAAGATAACAATAATTACAAAAGAAAAAATAATAGCTATAGTGGAGAAACCTAGTGGATATCACCTTAAACCAATGGTCAAAGTTTGCATCCCCAGTACTTAGCCATTGTCTATTTTATTTTTATTTTATTTTTTAATGTTTATTTTTGAGAGAGACTGAGAGAGACAGAGACAGAGCACAAGCAAGGGAGGGGCAGAGAGGGGTAGACACAGAATCGGAAACAGACTCCAGGCTCAGAGCCATCAGCACAGAGCCTGAGGCAGGGCTCAAACTTACAAGCCATGAGATCAAGACCTGAGCTGAAGTCACACACTTAACTGACTGAGCCACCCAAATGCCCGTCTTTTTTTAATTAAAAAAAATTTTTTTTAATGTTTATTTATTTTTGAGAGACACAGACAGAGCATGAGAAGGGAAGGGGCAGAGAGACAGGGAGACACAGAATTCAAAGCAGGCTCCAGGCTCTGAGCTGCCAGCACAGAGCCCAATATGGGGCTTGAACTCCTGAACCACGAGATAATGACCTGAGCTGAAGTCAGACGTTTAACCAACTGAGCTACCCAGGTGTCCCTTAACGTTTACTTTTGAGAGAGACACACAGTGTAAGCAGGGAAGGGCAGAGAGAGAGGGAGACACAGAATCTAAAGCAGGCTCCAGGTTCTGAGCTGTCAGCAGAGCCAAACTCAGGGCTTGAACCCACGAACCACAAGATTATGACCTGAGCTCAAGTTGGATGCTTAACTGACTGAGCCACCCAGATGTCCCTAGTCTCTTGATATGATGCACTAAGGGTACAGTGTCACATTTGGTATTCCCACATAACCTCAATCTAGCCAAGAACAAACAGGCAAACCCAAACTGAGGACATTCTACAAGTTAATGGACCAGTCCCCTTGTTCAAAAGTGACAGGTTATGAAACATAGGAACTGTCACAGATTGAAGGAAGACTAAGGTATGACAGCAAAATGCAATGGGATGTCCTGGATTGGACAAAGACCTTTCTGGGAAAGCTGGCAAAATTAGTAAAGAGCACTGCACTAGTGTGAACTTCTGGGGTTTAGTCATCATGCTATGTTAACTTAGGGGAAACTGGGTGAAGGGTAACTAGGAACTCTGTGTAATCTCTCTGTAAATCTAAAATTACTTCAAAAGGGTGGAGAAAGAGCTCAGGCTCAACCTAAGTGTTCTGGATCCACAATTCTGCCACCACAACTAGCTAGCTGCATAATCCTCTTCCTAGGGTTCTCCATCTCTAATATGGGAGTGATAATAATAGTACCTACCTTATGAGTTTACAAAGAGCCTGGAAAATGAGCCTAGCACATTTTGTGCCAGAAAATAAAAGAAGTGCTCAAAAAGTGACAGGATATGTCAAAGGGCCACAGGAGCTAACTTGAAGAAGCTCCTACCAGCCAAATTTGGAACAAATTAAACATCAGATGCTAAATAACAGTTATGACTTATAATACACTGAATATAATAAAGCATGAGCCCATGCTGATATAAATTAACCAAAGTTTTGGTGAAGAGCAAGTTAATATCTTAAAGTATTACCCCATAAGATACTTATTAATAATTAAGGAGCAACTGCACAGTGGAGAAGCCTGGCAGACATAAGGTGAACAAAGTGAACCCTATCTGCAGTGGGACACGGTCACATCATATGCCTCAGTGTCTCCTCAGTGCTCGTAGCCAAGGCACATACCCTGAATCTGATCATGGGGAAGCATCAGACCAACCAGCGTTGTTGGTGTAATTTTCACAAGTGTCAAGGTCACAAGAGTCAGGGAGAGACTGAGGAACTGTTCCAGAGGGGAGGAGACCAAAGGCAACACGTGATTCTGCACTGGATCTATGAAAGACACGATAGGCACATTTAGCACACCTTGAATAGGGTCTAAAGATTAAATGGTAAAAACATTTAAGTTGTAATTTCCTGATTTTGATGGTCATATTGTAGGTGTATAAAAGAATGTCTTTGGGGCACCTTGGTGGCTCAGGTCAGTTAAGTGTCTGACTCTTGGTTTCAGCTCAGGTCATGATCTCACGAATTTGTGAGTTCAAGCCCCGAGTCAGGCTCTGTGCTGACAGCTCCTCTTTGCCCCTTTCCGCTCACACACTCTCTCAAAGTAAATAAATAAACTTAAAATAAAAGAATGTCTTTTAAAAAAAAACACATACTGAAGTGTAATGGGGCGTCAGATCAGCAACTTACACTCAATCATTCCAGGAAACAAATTCTTTATTCTGTATTTGCAGATTTTTTAATAAATACTATCAGAGTGAGGCTTATATTCTTCCCTAGTGAAGGAAGATGGGATCTAATTTCTAAGCTGCTAAACAGCCAGAGGTTTAGATGGAGTCCACTTCTACCTAAAAGCAAAGGTTTGTACTCCTATTGGGGTATTATATTTCCTATCTGCCACTAGGGCTCCTAGTTACCAAGAGGCAAGGAAAAGAGCTGCTCACAGTTACATGGTTAGCCCAAAGCAGAGGTTCTCAGCCTGGACTGCACACTGGAATTACCTGGGAAACTTCAGAGTTCTGTAGTCTGCATCACATTCTCAGACACTCTGCTTTAATGGTCTGGGTGTGATCTGGGCATTGGGAGCTGTAAAAGTTCCCCAGGTGATTCTAATGTGCAGCTAACCTTGAAACCCACTAACTCAGGAGGCAGTAGTTGAGTTTTCTGATCTATTGCTGCCATTAATAAAATTATCACACACTTCGTGCCTTAAAGCAACACAAACATCTTACAGTTCTATAGAAGGCTGATATGAGGGGCGCCTGGGTGGCTCAGTCGGTTAAGCCTCTGACTTTAGCTCAAGCCATGATCTCACGCTCATGGGTTTGAGCCCTGTGTCAGGCTCTGGGCTGACAGCTTAGAGCCTGCTTTGGATTCTGTGTATGTCTCTCTCTCTGCCTCAACATTTAAAACATTAAAATAAAACAGATAAAAATGATCTGACCTTAAAATATCAGGTTCTTAAGGTTGCAAATATAAGGTTATATGCAACCTTAATAACCTTTTACTACATGACCTAATATATTCAAAGTTCTGGGACTTGGATATGGGCATCTTTGCAGGCTGGGGGAAGAGGCATTATTCTGCCTATCACAGTCGACATGTACTGGGGATTTTTCCTTCTTTAACCCTGAGATTACGTCTCATGCTTCACCGACAAGCTAGCCAGGTGCCCCAAGAATTGGTTACAATTTTATTTTATAAAATTTTTTAATGTTTATTTTTGAGAGACAGTGTAAGCGGGGAAGGGCAGAGAGAGAGGGAGACACAGAATCTGAAGCAGGCTCCAGACTCCAAGCTGCCAGCACAGCCCGACACAGAGCTTGTACTCACGACCTGTGAGATCATGACCTGAACCGAAGTCAGATGTTTAACCAACTGAGCCACCCAGGCGCCCCGACTTGGTTACAATTTTAAAAAGTACAGAAGAGGGAAGGTAAAAGTTGAGGGAGAGAGAAGATGAATGTCATGGAAAGTCAAAAGCTCACTCTTAAGATTCTTGAGTTTTGACCGGAAAGGAAGACCGTGGAAAAGGAAGGGGGAATGCAGCAGGCAGGCCAGACAGAAGGGCAGTGGCAGTACCAGGGCAATCTTCACAATAAAGTTACTGGTAAACTCTTGTTTACAAACATTATTTGAGACGGGAGGGTTAAGAGTAGATTTAATAGATGGCTATCTAGGTATTCCCCTTCCCAAAGGAAAGGGCCTTGAATGACAGACAAACGTTCTGGGCATTTCCTGGGAATAAAAGATAATGAGTGACAGCATAGAATGGAAGCAGTAGCTTTGACTAATCTATACTTTAAGAGGAAGTAAGGCAAGACTAGGCGAAAGGGCTTTTCTCTTCAGCATTCCCCATCATCATTCATTCAGCTCAAAGACCTAATTTGAACCAATTTTGTGGAGAAAATAACTAAAGCCACCTCTGTGGTTAATCCTAACAAAAATGGAAGGGTACCAGCTCTATTTTACAAACAGCTTTTCAGAACTTAATTGTTTAAGATGTCCCAAATATAAAGTAGCTGAATTGGACTTTTTAAACATTTCTTTCACCCTCTATTTTTAAATATTATGATAAAGTCCAAACATACATAAGAGTAGAATAATACCCCTCTTGTACCTGGCCACAATGGGTCAGTCATACCCCAAATTCCTCTTTTCTTCCCAGTATTACAGCTAATCCCAGACATACTTCACCTCTAAGTACCTCACCTCGAATCTCTAAAGCACAAAGCTAATTCCATGAACACATCTAAAATTTAATAAATTCCTAAATATCAAATATCCAGAGTTAAAATTGTTTGACTTGTTTTCTTTATCGTTGCCATTTTTTTCAAATTGAGATCTGAACAAGGTCCATGCTTTGCTCTTGGTTATCTCCCTCATTCCCATTTCACTTGATAGGTTCTTCCTACCTTTCTTTCCTCCCCGCACTGCAGTTTGTCTGAAGAATCTGGTCATTAGTTTCTGGAATTGTCTCATATTCCGGATTTTGCTGATGATCTCCCCATGACCTATGCTTTGAATCCGAAGACTTCAAAGCCCCCAAAACTCTCATCACAAGCTTACCCTATTTTTATAAAAATACTGTGAGCCATCTGCTGGGCTCTTTATGTATGTTATTCTTACTTCTAACATCTCACAAGGTATATACCTTTTTTTACAGATGTAACCTACCCTCAAGAGGGCATGCCCCAGTGACAAAGCTGAATGACAGAGCCAATATTACAAGTCGAGTCAGCCTGACTCCATAGCCTATCCTTTCCCCATACCAGATGGTCCCAATCATTGTATTATGGGATTGTCAATCTCCGCATACCCAAGCACATGGATGGCAAGCTAATCTTAACAGATAGCTATTCCCAAAGTAAGAATCCATGCCTCCCCAAAAATACAGGATAGAAATAAGACCAGCCAACTATAGGAGAAGGAGCCAATGGCTAGTCTTTATTGGAAAGAAGAAACTTTACAGCACATTTTGAGTAAGTTAGTGCAAAGGCTCAGTGGGCCAACTGGTGGGGCACCAGCTTGTAATGGGTTCCACAGCTAGGGCACCGCTGGGCTTCGCCTTTGTGCAGCCAGAACCAGATGACGGCACTATTGTCCTCTTCACCTGAAAGGGAAAATGTGGTTGAAGGCCATCCAACCAGAAGTGGAGACTTTCAATACTAGCCTCTTCCTCAGACACCTCTAAGACACAAATTTATGGTTGACATCTTGAAGAGACCGGTTTCAGCTCTCTCCTTCCTCATTTTGCAGCTGAAGAAATGAGGCCCTGAGTTTATCTGAGTAAACTGACCTCACATCAGAGTGACTATTAGGTTCTAGTAGCTCCTCTGCCTATGTAGAATCCCAAAGTGCATTCCCTTCTAGTATATACCTCTAGTGCCTAAAATGGTATCTGGCAAAGAGGAAGTACAATAAATATCATCTAGATAAGTACTCCTTCATGCTGCATCTCCAATGAGCTGGTATTAGTGTTCTATGTCTCTTTACAGTAAGGATAACCTACTTAGGTTAATGAAGCTTTAAAGGACCAGGGGACTCATTTACACACATATCCCCTTTACACACAACAGCATACGCACAAAAGATTTGAAACATATTACTGACATCCTGTAGAGAATATATTAAATGTACAAGAAAACAGTGATGAGGTACTTACAGATGCAGCCCACTATTCGCTTGTTAGTGATAGATGGGACTAAATTAGGGTCGTCCTTGGTGCCTGAAGCTGCCTTTGGGGCTAGCATATTGTATGGGTCCTGAAAAAGAATAAGCCATTAAGCCAAATGACCCCTACCCTCCAGAGGCTGGTATTACTGTTCCCACAAGTCAGATTTCCTAACTTAAATGCTACCAGAGAGGATACTGCTCTGATCCCATCCAAGACCATGAACTCCAAAGACAGGAAAAGGAGTTTCTCACCAGTCCCTTCTTTGCAGCCATCATGACCTCCCTCTCCAGCCCAGTCGCCTGCTCATCATCAGTAGGAACACCGCCTAAAGGAAAATACATGAATTATGATGTTGTCTGAATTACCAGGAGGAAAAATGCACATCCATAAATGATTACATATAGTTTACAAGCTTCTAAAGGCTACTCATTCACTTTGTCCTGTCCCCTAAGGACCATTGTCATGATCCCCAAAAGCGGCAGCAGAGAGTAATCTTTTTCTTCCTTCAACCAAGGAGGCCAATTTTTCTACACATTTTTTTTCTAAAAGCAAATCAATTCTAATGGGATGGGGTTCATTCAACTTGAGGTGAGCGCAAACCTGAAAAGCGGCTTAACCCCTCCACATCCCGGTTGCAACCCATCCCCCAAGGTCACCCGACACCTCAGTTTAGAATTCTTTCGCAGCGGGGGTCGTTCGGTGGGCGGCAGCAGAGGCAGTCAGGTATATCACGGAGACGCCCGCGGAGACTGAGGCACTGCGGGCCGTGAAGCGGTCACTGGCGCCCCGAGGAGCTGAACGGCCCACCCCCCCTTCGCTGCTCTAGCACCACCCCGGGGGGGCAACGGCGCCAGTCCCTAACACGTCAGGCGGGCCGAATACCTCCAGATGCCATGGAGCGCACTGCGGCGACTCCATTGGGACCGCGGGCCCTGAAGGCCTGCGCGGCCAGGGATCCAACTCCGCGAAGTAACCTTGAAGCCATCACACTCGCTACAAACAGCAACACTTCCGGGAGCAGGCTCCGGAGAGAGGCGTGACTTCCGGGGGTGGGCTTTTTCCCCCGCCACCAGAGGTCAGACTTCCGCTTCTTTCAGTCCTGGAGCCCGCCCCACTCACGTGACTCTGCCGGGGGCGGGGAGAAATGGGAAAGTTTGCGCACGCGTGTATCTCACCCCCGTCCTCCGCTGCGCAGCCCCGGAACCGTGGGGGCGGTCTTTTTTTGAGATGTAGGCTTTCGTCTCAACTAAGGCTCGTGCTGTTCGTTTTGCGCCCGTGGGGCTCCGAGGACTCGTCCATTGGGTGGGGCGACCACAGTGGAGTTCTTGTGCGTCTTTCCTGCTAGTTGTGCTCTGTACGTAGAGGCTGCTAGATGGAAGTCTTTAAGGCCGAGTATGTCAAGAGATTGCTGAACCTTATTCCTGTGCGTCTTTCCTGCTAGTTGTGCTCTCTACGTAGAGGCTGCTAAATGGAAATCTTTAAGGCCGAGTATGTCAAGAAATTGCTGGACCTCAAATGACTTACATTTAGGAACGGGCCTCTAAAGACCACCGTGTTAACTGTTGTGCCGGTTGGCGGGGCAGTGTGAGCCATCGCGAACTTGTTGCATTGGCCCAGTCTGTAAGAACTTGGTTACAACCTACCCGCATCGATGCCTAGTCCTAGCATCGATTTCCTGTTACAGCGGTGCTGAGGTGATGTAGTCATTACCGGTGATGTGGTCCAGGTCTAAGGTGGGACCGAGGTGGGGAAGAAGGATAGGACCAGATTTAGGACCCTTCCCAGGGTCACGGCCTTTGGTGATGTGGAGTGAGGGGCTTGGCAACACTGGGAGGTTACTAACCAAGTTGTGTTGTGTACTGACTTGTTAGGATTTCAAATCCACGTTTTAAAAAGTTTGTTTTGGACAAAATTGTTCGTGGTTTGAACTTGTTTTGTTTGAAGTTGGGTATTAGGACTTACTGAACTCTCGCACCTGGAGTGGAGAGGACAATTATGTCATTGACACCGTAATAATAGCAGCGGTGTCCATCTTCTGACGGACTTTAAAAACTAAGAGGTTTGGTCAACAACTCGAGAGCGTTCAGTTCGGGGAAGGCTACTCTTTCTTGATCTAAATAGTTCTCTGAAGATCTTGAGACAATTTTGCTGCCCTAGCGAGGCTACTTTTGGTCAGCAATGGTGTTAAGCGCGCAGCAGTCTTAAGGGGCATCTGTTTCAGCCTTGGCACTATTAGGCACTGGTACAATCCATTCAGTGGTCCCTGGAGTAATAATCTTTGAAGCAGCCCACCTTCCTGCCAGTACTGGTGCCCCAGCGTGGAACCTAAGCTTGCAGCTGCTACCTAGCTTTTAGTTTGAAGGACTGACTCTACTCACTGTGGAAAGGCACACCTCAACAGTTTCTTTCATCTCCCTTTTGCCTGAAACAATCCTGTACTTCTCACTGATTTGAAGTATGTTATTTCTTTATTGACTTATGAAGGTATATCCTGTGTGCTATTGGCATACTATAAATTATAATGCCCTCAGTGAACTATGTTAATTAAGTTAATTATAAAGACAGTCTTAGTCTCTGAGCGTAATTTGCCCCAAACAAAACAGGGGGAAGAAGAAGGTAACTTGATAATGGGAAATGGAGTCCCTGAAGGTACCTGGGCCAGAGTTCTCTTTTTAAAACTGAACATATCTTCCATAGCTCCCATTGCCCACATGCTAAGGTGTGCAAGCTTCTTAGAAGGGTGGGCATTCAGAGCACCTTAGTGGCTCAGACGGTTAAGCATCTGACTTTGGCTCAGGTCATGATCTCAGTTTGTGAGTTCAAGTCCCGCATCAAGCTCTGTGCTGACAGCTCAGATCCTGGAGCCTGCTTCCAATTCTGTCTTCCCCTCTCTCACCCTTTCCCTGCTCATTCTCTCTCGCTCTCAAAAAATAAATAAACATTAAAAGAAACTTTTTTAATAATAAAAAAAAGTGGGCATTCAAAAGGCTTTGTAAACACTGCCCTCCATCAGCTGGTAGGACTTTGTTCATATTGTCAGTACAGCCCTATCTCACCCTGGCTCCATGCAGTATCTGTGTTTCCCTTCAGATGGAGAATCCTTTCAGAGAAAGAATTACACTCTATTCATCTTTGAATCCTTAGTGCCTTGTAGAGGCCTGACATATAATAGGATCAAGTAAATTTTAGTCAATTTGCTTCTTGGACAGAATATACAGAATCAGCTGTGTAGGGCTTCTGGCCCAGTGAGGTCAATTTGAGGTAGACTGGGGAGGGTTGAAGCCCCAGGTATTTCCATCTGTTCTGTGCAGGTTATATTTTCAAAATGAGGGGCGCCTGGGTGGCTTAGTTAAACACCCAACTCTGGGTTTCAGCTCAGGTCATGATCTCAGGCTTCATGGGATCGAGCCCCACATCAGGAGTGGGGGGGGGCTGTCAGCTTCAAACCTGCTTGGGATTCTTTGTCTCTGTGCTCGCTTCGGCAGCACATATACTAAAATTGGGATTCTTTGTCTCTGTCTCTCAATAAACAAACAAACAAACTTTAAAAAAAAAAAAAAGAGGAAGAAAACAAAGGACCTGGGAGAGCATTCCTTCACAGGTTCACAGGAGCACTTTTGGTCTTTGTGGGTGTCCCCACCACCAAGAAAAAAATGGTCTCTATTCTGAGGCCAGAAACGTCTTGATCCTCTTTAAAGGTGGGTTTTGCTTCGAAGGGTTCCCAGTGTTACTCCCTTCTCTCTTACCTCCAGTGCAACCCCTCCAAATTAAATTGGAAAAAAAAAATCTGTAAATCTTAGGAATGTTCCCCAAGAATCTATCGTTGATTTGTATCTGTGGTTAGCTGTTTAATGCTAGGGAAAAAGCACTGGATTGGAAGACAGGTGTTCTGGGATGGAACCCCACCCACCAACTCAGCCAGTCACGGTTCCTTTTTTTAAAAAGACAACATTAATACTGTTTTACTATTTTTTAAAGTTTATTTATTTACTTTTGAGAGAGATGGAGGATCTGAAGTGGGCTTTATGCTGACAGCAGAGAGCCCAAAGCAGGGCTCGATTTCACAAACCATGAGATTTATGATCTGAGCTGAAGTTGGATGCTTAACTGACTGAGCCCCCTGGGCACCCTTCCTCATGTTTTCTTTTGGCCACTATTTCCTCATCAGTAAAACTGATTAGACTAAATTATTATTTCCCAAAGTGTAATTCACAAAATCCTACTCTCAGGAGATGCTGTCAGTTAAAAACAACTTGGAAGGTCCTGCATTTGATGAACTCTGTGTTGGAGATGCACATTCTAGCATATTAAAGGCTCTGATTAGGCCTGCTGCAAAGAATCCTGTTTAATTCACTTGTGGTTTAAGCCAGAGTTTTTCCAGCTTCACTGGCCACTCTTTGCTAAGAAACACCCACCAACCCAACTCTCAGCAGACCAGTGAGAAGTGTAGTTGTGAGATTTTACGATTCCCTACTGCCTGACTATAAGACGGTTTACTCCAGCCTATGAAATGGAAACAAGGGTTATGCCTAATCATAGGACATTTATGCAGGACCTTATTCAGCTTGCAAAAGACCTGGGATTCTTCAGGCTATGCAAGGGAGCTCTAATGTCAGGACCAGGCTCTAAGGCATCCCCACCCACCCCCTGGGGCCTCTGAGAGCTCTCACCACCTCCCCTCACACCCCTGCTCCCTAATGTCTCCTTGGCAAACAGTCTCCCCGACTCTTATTCGATCATTGGCTTTGCCAACACAATAAACATTGAGCATTATTTTTTTACTTTTATAGGATAACTTTTAGTGGTCAAAATAACTACCCATTATAAGATATATGATGAGTAACAAAAGGGTTCATTGTTAACAGTTTCATGCTTTTCCATTTTTTTCCCTTCTCTACGCCAGGGTTTCTCAACTTCAACATTATTTATATTTTGGTTTGGATAATTCTTTGCAGGGCAGGGTGCAGTCCTGTGTGCACGGTAGGATATTTAGCATTTATGCCATTAACATTCCCCAGTGGCAACAAACAAAAATGTCTTCTGCCATTGTCATGTGTCCCCTGAAGGGCAAAATCACTCTAATTGAGAATCACTGCTGCATGTTCATACAGACATAATTCAAACAAAGGCACGTATAAGGGATGTTTGTTAAAATATACAGATATATAAATGAATATCAAATACAAAAATATATGTCTACTATAAAAATTATTAGCAAGTGGCTTTAAAAATTTTTTTGTGGAGGGACGCCTGGGTTGCTCAGTTGGTTGAATGTCCAACTCTTGATTTCAGCTCAGGTTGTGGGTCCATGCTGACCATGGAGCCTGCTTAAGATTCTTTCTCTGTCTAGGGGCGCCTGGGTGGCTTAGTCGGTTAAGCGTCCGACTTTCGCTTAGGTCATGATCTCGCGGTTCGTGGGTTCGAGCCCCGCGTCGGGCTCTGTGCTGACTGCCGGCTCAGAGCCTGGAGCCTGTTTCAGAGTCTGTGACTCCTTCTCTCTCTGACCCTCTCCTGCTCACACTGTCTCTCTCTCTCTCTCTCTCCTAGAAATAAATTAAAAAAAACATTAAAAAAAAAAAAGATTCTTTCTCTGTCTCTCTCCCCCATTCCCTCTTTTAAAAAAAAATTGTGGACATCAGAAACCAATACATATAGATCTATCTCATTTTATGTAGTTGCTGCATAGTATTTCCTACTATAAATGTACTGTAATTTACCCATTTTCCCCTTCATGAATATTCAGAATACTTTTGCTTCTCAAATAGTGCTGCAATGCATGCCTGTGTA